GACTATTAATAATGGCCCAAAGAAAGTTTTTGTTTTATGGGCTTGAAGAAATAATCAAGTCTATTAATTCTTTTGGATTTTGAGTGTTTTATGGGTTAGAAGAAATAATTATGTCTATTAATTATACACACGTTCCGGTATCAAATTTTCTTATGTTTTAGTCCTTTATAATTTGTTGGTTTTTTAATGTCATTTATATTTTAATATTTTTTTTAATTTACCCTCGATAAATATTAAAAGCAAATATTGGCAAAACTTTAAGGGAGGTAAAGGCGAAGAAATTTTCTAGTTTCTCTTCCGAATTTAAAGAAGTTAGTAGAAATTTAAGGCTTGTAATTCATGACCTACTGATAAGAGACATGCCAATTACCACCTAGTTAAACTCATTTGGGTGAGTTATTTGAAACCATGTTGAAGTAATTTAATATGTTTTGTACTAGATATTTAAAAAAAAAAATTGGACTATTATGGTCATTGTTTTCATATCATATTTATATTGTTAGGAGGATAGATTTGCTGTCTAATTGATCTAATTATTGTTGGAAATTTTAAACATTTTTTCTTTTCAATTTGTCTGTTGCCATAACATATAGGTGATATTTTTTTTATAAATTGAGCTGATATATTTTTACTTACATTTTTTCTGTAAAATATATATATTTTTTTGTTGTTGTATGTGGATGTATGTGTTGGATCTATCATTTTACTTGTATATTCAAAATAGCTAAAATACTAATAAAATAAATATATTTTATTTGTAAAATAAAAAAAATGATATAGATCGCATCCATTATACACGATTTTTTAATTTGACCAATACCCAAACTATTTTTTTCAATAGTTTGGATGCCCAACTTAATTTTATAATTTATTTTATTATTATTTTGTCATTTGTTTTTTAAAATTACATCATTCTTAAAATCAACCCAAGATAAAACAACCCCTCCCTCAAAATAATACAAAATAAAATATAAGTTATTTCTTGTTTCATATTTGTTACTTTTTAAAACAATTTTTTACCAATAAAATAAATAATGAAGAAAAAAATGGTTAAAATGGCATGTTTTAGAGGAAAAGAAACAAAACATAATTACCGATTAGATTTTCTATTTCTTTTTCAATAAAAAACAACAAGAAATAAAAAACGATTGTCAAACTAGTTTACACCTTTATGTTTCTTGGAAAAAAAAAACGTAAAAATTTGACTTTTTATGGAGGAATATTGCCAAGTAAACCCCATAATTCGATTTCTAAATGTAAGTGTAAAAATGTTACAAAGTCTCGCACATTAACAAAAGAGAAGAAAGAAAGTCCATGATATATAAGTAGAGAACAACATCTTGTAATTGAGTGAAACTAAAAACAAATGTGGCCGAGATTCCCGCTATGGAAGATGGAATGGTAGGGAATAAGGAGGAAGAGAATGGAGGGAAAGAAAAAGAAGCCAAGGCCAAGGGTATGGTTTGGGAAAAGGCAATCAGTAAGAGATGGTTTGTTTTTACATTCATTTTTGTGATTGGTTTTGTCAAGTTACCAAAAAGTGGAAGGGACCACACCCACCCCATTTTCCATCATTATAATTTGAACACAAAGCCAAAGCCTTTTGGCTTTTGTGCTGCAATTGATTTGTTTGCTGTTAATTTCACATATATGCCCCTTTAGTTGCCATTTCCTCAGCTTTAATTTTGCTCCTCATAATTGAACAGCCAACACCAACAACAAGCCCCTCTTTCACTCCTCATTCATTCATATTTCATACGAGGAAATAAGGCATTTCCCAAAACCACAATTACTCTACTAGTAGTGGGGATCTTTTGTCTCCCTTTCCACTCCTCCTCGAAAACTAATTAAATGCTTCTTTTTTCTTTCCCTTTTCTCAACCAAACCCTAATTTGCTATAACTGCTATCTTTATTTTTTCATATGACTCTTCTCCTCGTTGCCTACAAACCATTACAGAGGATGATAATCAACTTTCAAGTACAGTTCAAATGACAAGTTCAATGTAACCGTATTTACCTTCTTAACCTATAAAAAAAAAATTTATATTTACTTTAGATGTGTTCTTAAAATAATTTTTGACTCCAATAAACACACTTACTACAACACAAATACATACAAATTATGAAATCGAAATGCACACAAATATAAATAGAAGACTTATATTTTCATTCACACGTGTGTAATAATAACATTGTTGAGATTGTCGTCCCTTGAATCTTCCAAGAAAATCTTTTGAATGACCGGAACCTATACACCAAAGTAAAAGGTCAATTTTGTAAATTGATGCAACAATAGTATGCTTTTAATAAATGATCAATGTACCATATAATCAGTTGCATATATGATTATTATTATTTTGGCAATCAAATAAAAAGGTGTAAAAGGGTATTTTACTATTTTTAATGCATGTGTGTATACTATTACTGGCTGGGCTGGGCTTGATTGTAACTGACTGGACAATTTTGAAATATTTGCAAAGTGTTGGTTCATTTTTTTTGAAATAGGATTAGTACTTTTAGACGCTATCTAATTTGAATGATATAAAATTTACACTTTTATCATCAAATAATTCCATTTAAAATAGTATCATCACTTAATTTACTAATATATCTTTTTTATCTCATCTCAATATTAATTAATTTTTAAAATCCAAATTTGGTTAAAATCCTTTAAATTTTCCTTAACTCGACTTTCAAAAGTAAAAAATATCAAATCCTCAAAATCCTCCATTATTGAAAAAATTTGAAACCTCCTCCCTCCGACTTTTCTTCTTCCTTGTTGTTTTGTTTCCGTCCATTCCTTCGTCTCCGGCCGCCATCTGCATTTCTTCGTTTCCGGCCGTCGCCTCCGTTCTTCTTCGTTGTCGGAATAGTTCGTCTAGCTTCTCCTTCGTCTCCGGCCGCCCGTCCATTGTTTCCGTCCGTTTATCCCGAGGTTTCTTTTTTGTCACCGGCCGCCCGTTGACCATTCGAGCCTTCCATTTATCTCGACCATTGTCTAGTCGTCAACTGGAAGGTTTGTGAGTTATTTGCTTTATTTGTTAATTGTAGAGAGATATAGTCGTATATACTTTATAGCTAGATATATGTTATATCTCCATATAAATGTATGTTATAATATATCACCATTATTAAGTATATGTTGACAAAATCAAATTTGGAATATTAATCTTTTACATTTAAATAAAATATTAATTATAATTAATATAAATACCATAAATAAGAGTAAATTTGGCATTTGAAAAAAGTTTTAAATCCAGAAATCTAAAACGATAAAATTTGTAAGCCATGCTACGTTTTCTGAAAACAAATTTCCAAAATAACTGATCCAAAGAGATTATMTGTTTTGAAATTGAGTTATGAGACTAGTTGTCTAAACATAAAGCCCACAGCACCAGCCCACATCTGCAAAGTCATACCAAATATTTTAGAACTCACACTACATATTTATGTTAAATACCTTTTAATCTATTTTTTCTTCACTTTTGGCAATGGTTTTGTGACTAAATGAGTGTTTAAATCTCCACCAAATATATATTTTTTAAAACTTCACAACTTTTTAATTTTTTTTTTTCAAATATAAAAGTGCTAGTGCTACTGTTATTAATGTGTTTCATATTGCATTTGATTGGATAGTACTATTCTTGTAAAATTTAAAATATATCATTTTTCCTAACTATTGTTTGCACGCYATTCCACTTTTTAATTAAGGCCATTAACATTTCCTCAATCAAGAGAAGACAAAAGAAAAAAAAAAAAGGTTTTTGCAAGATCTAGAGAGAAACTTCTCATCCTCTTATTTTGGAAGCAAAGCCAATTGTATAACAAACTTTAGTTATCATCCTCCACTCTTCAAGAAAAACTTCAGCTTTAGCTGAACGTTTTCTTCGCTTGGCCACTTCGGTGGAGTATGTTGGAGCTTTAGCACTCAAGGAAGGTATAGACTTGGCAAGGGAGTTAGGCATTCTGCAGGAAAGACTATTGCGAGAAGAAATCCAACTTATCAATGATGAAATCATAAATCAACGAGAAAAGATGAGTTTGAGGGACTAACTCTTACTCACCGGCAAATTCCCTCCCTCAGTGTGCACTTACATATCRATGGGCTAACTCTTCAACTATGTTTTTACTTCCTTCTTTTGTACTAAAAAGAACAACCTCTAATTCTTAAACAACTAGTATTTACATTGGTTTGCAATAAGAAATGTTTGATTATGAGTTAATAGAGCTCATATGCTATAATTCAACTTGTGGTGAATACCAAAACTACCCTTGTAGTCTAATATAATAGCTTCGGACAGAAATGCCCTCCAACGAATAGAAATTAATTAAGAGATTGGTTGATGTTGGACGTACAATTTGACAGCTTAAATGCAATTCACCAAGTTGATTGAAAAGTTGAAGGGCGAGCCRTTACCTTTTTCTAAACCGAAATTTGATACGCCAGTTGCAAAATTCCCACATTTGGCCATTTTTGCAATTTTTGGATCTGCCCAAAATTTTGAACGACGATCTTGAAGCGGGGGACAACGCAAGACAAGTCGCATTACAACCCATCAAAACCATCCTATTCTTTAATTTTCTTTTTTTTCCCTTTTGGGACTTGCCCCTTTTTTATTATTATTATTTTTTTTTTCATATTTTCTCAGTGTTTTTACCTCATCCTTATCTCCATTAAGATACACTTTTGCTTTAAGAGCARACTAGCAAAATGGAACTGGGTCCCCTCGTTTTAAAAGTTTCAATTTAGTTGGATTAAACCGTGACCCAATTGAATTAACAGAGACGTGAAAGTATAGAGTTGGAATTTGATAAAATGAAAGTAGAGGCGTAGAAATCCAGATCCTTGTAAATGTATGAAAACTACAAAGGCTGGGACCTGGCGCACAACCCACCTACCGGACTGTACTGGCGCTCCTTTTTAGCGTCCGGCTGGAGCTGGACCCTTGTCTCCACTTCATTCAATCAAACTATCATATTCCCAAATAAACAATCTATAAAAAAAAAAAAATTCAATAATTCAGCCAAACAACATCCCCTCCCACAACACGGACCAATTTTAAAATATTTACATAAAACTAATATTACACCTTAAAGTTACCTCTCCGCCATTTCTGGACCAAACATTGTCCTCTAAACAAAACATTCAATTTCTTTTCTTTTTCCCCTTAATTTTGTAAACACCAGATGGAGGATGGATGATGGACAACAGCTAAGATGGAAACCAAAAACAGCGCACAGCTCCAATCTTATTGGCTGGTTGATTGTTCCAAGCAATTTTTATTTTTTTTACCACCTTCTTCGCTAATTACAATACTAATTCATCGAATTCCCACCCTCGATCGGGAACCAAACAAAAACAATACAGTACGGTACAATAACCCACCAACCCTCTAACCCCACGCTATTATGTCTTTACCTATCCTCTACTATTTTTATCCCACAATGCCCCTACTCCTTCTATGATATTTGACTTCTCATATTATGAAATCATAAGCATCATAATTTTGGAAGCACCTGAATCCCATTTTGCATCCACTCCACAACCCCACAGCATCTCAAAATTTGCAGGTCCTAAATCAACTTCAGTTTGAGCGCTCCTTGATGAATTGAGATGTCGGTTGATCTTGGTAAAAACCCCCCACCAAACAGCAAGAGATTCAAATGAAATCCCAAAAATCATGATCAAGAAACAGTAGCCAACCACAAAAATACCTAACTTCTCAAAAATCTTATCACTTTAGTAGTTATAGCTTTAGTTGTTAGTGAGGGCAGGGCAGGGCAGGGTCTTGGAGCCCCAACTGCTTGCTTTTTGTAGGCCCCCTGCTGCTCCCTCCTTCCCTTGTCAAAATTTTCCATTACTTTTTCCCCCACTTTTCCTTTTCCATCCCTTTCTCGAGAAATTCAATTTTCATTCTTCTCCCCTTCCACTATAAATTCTTCATTGATTTCTCACGCCCATCCTTCCTTCCCTTCCCCCTCATAATTTCCCAACAAAGTGCTTCTTTTTTCCAATTAAACAAAGGAAGAAATTGAATATCATCATCATTAATAACTGGGTTCCTAAGTTAATGTACATTCATTCATAATTTCTACACGGGCCAAAATTTCTTTTTTGGTAAAAGAAAAAACTCATAGGAAAAGGAAAAGAAAAATTGAAAAAAAAAAAAAAAAGTAAACCCTAGATGGAATGGAGGCTAATTAAACAGAGCCAAATCAGACACAAGGGCATGATCATCGCCCGTCACATACCTTGGCGGCGCGTGTTGGCGCCTCCACTTCCACTTCCACTTCACTGTCTCTCCCAATCGAACTCCCCATCCGCCTCCTCTTCCGGGTCGGGTAATTTGTTCAAGTCGACCCGATCCAGAAACCCGCTGCAACTCTTGAGCTCTGGCGGAGACGCCGATTCGTGTGGATCATGGCTCCGATTGAGACTGTGGTGGTGGTGATGGTGATGCCCTAAGGAACTCTCGAGAGCATCCACTCGAGCCCCCACCTCGGTGGCTTTCTTCCGTATCGAAGCGGCCGACATGTCGCCGCCGCCGGCGCTAATTCCGCAGGCTTCCCCGGCTAATAGCTCAGGGAAATTAAGCCTGGCGGAGGGACCTCTGAGGTAGAAGACGGCGGTGTCGTAAGCCCTGGCCGCGGCGACGGGAGAGGAGTAAGAGCCGAGCCAAATCCTGGAACGTTTATTGGGTTCTCGAATCTCAGCCACCCACTTTCCCCACTTCCTCATCCTTATCCCTTTGTACGGCCTCTGATTATCCACCCCTCTTTTCCTCGTACCCTCCCGCCCTCCCTCTCCTCCTCCGCCCTCCATGGTCGCCACCCAAACCAAACCTAAATCTCCACTCTCGCTCTCGCTCTAGCTCGCTCTCAGAAAACTACCCGCAAATCAAAATCTTCATGAAATCAAAAAAGAGGAGAAATCGAAGGAGGGTCAGATTGAGGTGGATGTGCGTGAAATTGGCGGAAGAAGAGAAAGGGGTTTGGGTTTGGGTTTTGGTTTTGGTTTCGGTTTTGGTGCGTCCATTCCCTTCCCTTCCCTCGCTGCTACTTTGCCACCAAGTTTGTCATCTCAATTAGCCTCCACGTTTATTTTTCTTTTTCTTTTCCGTATCTCAAAAAATAAATAATAAATAATAAATAAAAGGGGTTTATATTTATGTGAGCCAATGTGAAATTCACCGACAAAATCTCACCTCCTTATCCCTTAATTTTTTTTTAACATTATTATTCTAAATATTTAATTATAAGTTTATTACCTACTTTTTCTTATTATTTGTATAATTATGCGTACAAAACAACATGATATCATGTATAAAATGGATGCAAATATGCAACTTCAAATGAATGCACAGTTTTATTTTATAAAACTATAATATATGTATTTGGACGGTTCCATAAAACATTCATTTTRAAATAATTTTGTCACAACGTGACATTTAAGTGACTCCTCTTACCTTGCGAGTTTTCTTTTTTTTTTTCATTATATATATATATATAATATATATATTTGGTTTGACATTATTGTAAATTTTACAGGCATACAAAATTTTAATACTCAGTTAATGTAGAAACTCATTTTCATGGCTTAGCCATGTTAGGGGTACTGAAAAACAATGTGGGGTCTATTAAATCAAACAAAATTGTGATTGATTTATATCAAAGTATTAATGAAGGAAATAGGCAAGCCATAAGTACTTTCTTTTATTTTTTCTTTCCAAATACATCTCTCAACAATGGAATGCTAAGTTTATGAAAGAAATAATAATAATGAAAAGTAATGCAGTGGGTTAATTATTGAGGACCATTTCATAATAGTTATGTTTTGGTCATTTAAATTTTAATTGTATTTAATAGATCCTTCAACTTTTAAAATTGTCAAAATTCTTCACCYCTAAGTAATATCTACCTAAATGTCGTATTCAAATCTTCGTATGAACTTAATAATAAAAGAAAATCTTTTATATCTCCGAACCTTGAGACACTGACTTTTTTTAAAATAAATTCTTTAAAAATCATTTGGACACAATTAAAAATTCAAAATACTTATTAAACGAAATCCTCAAAATTGATGGATCAAACCTGTAATTTAATATTCTTTTTTCATTTTTATACTCTAATGTTTAGGTTTTTTCCTTAAATTTTTAATTTAGGTTTAATTTTCATCTTTAAAATTTTAGAATATTATTTTCTTATTTCCAAAGCTGTATTCACTATCTTTTTTTCTTTTTCTTCTTCTTTTTTTTTTTTTACTTTTTAGTTTTCATTAAATTTCATGGGTAGTTTCTGACTGTCATAAAGATCTTATCCTGATTTGCTAACATAATGTAAGACCATTCGTTATTTACGTCATATTTGATTATAATTATTATGATTATGACTAAATGTGAGGTTGAAATCAGAGAGTTTGAAAGTTACCTTTTGTCTTTAGTTTGTAAAATTTGACTTAGATTTTAAAGATACTTTTAAATTTAAATATTATTTTTAACGTTAAAACTTTAAGTTTGTTTTATTTTAATCTTTAAGACTATTAAAATATGTGTTTCAATTCTTAAACTTAAAAGAAATAACAATTTTGCTTATTGCATTTTTCTACCGTAAGTTGTTTAATGTATGAATTACGTGATTTTAAATATATTTATAATGTATTGACGTGAACATATATTAAAATGACATAATTGTTGTTGAAAACATGCAAATACACATTCAAAACCACACCTCTATTAAACAACTTAGGGCAAAATATGAAAATAACTAAAATAGTTACTTTGTAAAGTGTAGGGACTAAAGTAGGTATTAAAGATGAATAAATCATCACTCAACCCAAAAATTTAACCTATGGATTAAATTTAATTCACATATGAGATATCTCAACACTCCCCCTCACCCCAAATAACAATTTATGAGTTGGAACACAAGACCTCGTTTTGATAAGATGAATAAATCACTGTTCAAGCTTAAATTTATGAGTTGGGAAAATGTAATTTATATAAAAAATATCTCCAATAGACATTTAAAATTTAAAGAAAAAAATTGAATATAAAATTTTAGAGGTCAAAATTATATTAATTTTTTTAAATATGAAAAGAAATTATGATTAAAAAGTTAATTTAAAATCAAATTAATATTGACCTTGTGAACATAAATATTCATTTCTACACTATGTAATAAGGCGATATTCGGGATCTTTTTATCTATATAAAAAAGAAAAGGAGTATAGTGTATACTTTGAGATTTTCTAAATAAATATTAAAAATTTGAACCGAGGGATAGGTTGATTTGGTTATCTTTTCGAAAGGTTTTTACTGTTAAAAAATCTGTACTTTTATTGTTTCCGTAACATTTCGATGACTTTTTTGAAAAAGAAGAGAGAGAGTCAAACCTGATTTGAACTAGTTTCTGTGGATTTTGTTATTTAATATATGATGGGCATTACTAAAAACAAAAACGAAAAAAGAAAAAAAGAAAAAAACAAGAAGAAGAAGCCATGCTCAGATTCTAAAATTGTATGTATTTAGTATTAACTTTTGTTATATTTAATTATTTAATTTAATTGGTGGTGGTGGCGGTGGTGGATGGGTGGTGGGACTGTCGTCATTTTGTATGGAAGGTGAAGTGGACTTCAGAAAATATTTATTACTTTATACTTTAATTGTTAAAGTTTATGGTGAACTAAGATAACAATAATAATAATAATAAATAATAATGTCAAAGTTGATGGTACACGCAAGTTATTATTACTTTAGGAATTACTTAAAAGGGTTAAATATGGATTTCTTTTTAATCTGTTTTTAATTTTAGATCTTCTTCATAAATTTTTATTTATTATTTTTATATTAAAATATACTTTTAATATCTAAAATTTGAGTTTGGTATCGGTCCTATATCTCAAAAAGAACACTTTAGTCTACTTAAAAAGAACACTTTAATCTTTAATGGACTATTAAATGACTTAAAAGATGATAAAATGACTATTGTTTGGAAAATAAATTAACTTCAGCTAATGAGAGGTGTTAGAGAGAGGGAGGAGATCCACCTCATGATATAATCACGCAGTATATATATATATATATATATATATATATTAAATTAAGTTATTTTACCCAACCAGCAACCCAATTAGAAAATAATTTTCATGTGTTATTATCATCAACTAACAAAAACCATTATTTAAAACCACATAGACTAAAATGTTTCAATCAAATAGATACCAAATTCGAATTTAAGGATTAAAAATATTTTTTACTTTTTATTTCAATTTTAGTAAATTATGTCTAGATAAAATTATTTATTTTCATAATTTACTGTCAAACATATACTTAAAATCTATGCAAATTTTGAAAGCCTAAAAATTTTTGAAAAGTTTTCTTTGATTTTTTATAATTACTTTATAAACTTGGCTAAGTATTATTTAAATGTATTAATTACATTTATTTAAGTACTTAATTATAATTAATTTAATAAAAAGCGGAAGATAAAATTCGAAGCTTTAAATGAGTATAGCYAACATCTACTTCTTCACTTCTTCTAGTAAGATTTGAAGTTCATATTCTCATAATTAAAAAAGATCGAACATAGAAAATAGGTTTAAGGATGAGAACCCAAAACATATTCAAACAGAATTTAGAATWAATTAAGCTCCATTAAAAATTGATGTTGTAAAAAATATAAATAATTGAATTAAGAGGGAAGGTCGGTCGGTGGTCGGTGGTCGGTGGGCGGATACCGTTGGGCGGATTGACTTTTCGTCCACACGATAACGATATCTGTGGAAGGACATTTTTGTTCTTCCCAATTCCTGCTTCTGTTGGCATGATTGAGGGGTAATATGGGTATTCTGTTCACAAACCCTGTCGTTTAACTGAGATTTTCGGAGACGAAAATTCCAAGAAAAATCGCAAAGATATTTATTAATAATGTAATGTGCRGCAAAGCAAGGCGTGGAATACTTTTCTACATGTCTCATAAACAATTGGTGGATTAGCGTCAATAATTATTTCAGATAAAATTAATTATTTTTATCCATGGCACTTGGCTCAATGACGCATTCGATGCTTTTTAACTAAGTTTAGACATTGTGTTAGCTGAATTTGGGTATTCTTTTACCTACTTAATTTTGTCAAAAAAAAAAAAATGTAATTAAGCAATTTGATTTTAAGCGTTTTATTAGTTGGATATTATGTGACGTAATTTTTTTAATTAAGTTTTGGAAAATTATTAATTTTGTCCAATATTCAAATGTAGGATTTAATTCAATAAAATTAAGCTGATGAAACCTCACGTGGTAACAAATGAATTTTCCATTATTTTTTTTCTAATTAAAAAAAGCTATATTCAATTTCATAGTAGAGGTAGTGTAAACATTGATCTCTTCCATTTATAATCTAATCTAATTAAATAAAATGTGTGTTACTCAATAACAATTAATTTTAAAAATTTGAAACATACTTTTAATTTTAATTAATGTTTCGTTAACMTSAATAATGAGAAGAAAAATGATTTCAAATTTCAAAATTTTAAAGAAGATAGATGAATTAAAATTCTTCTGGGATAATCTTTCGTCGGCATGACATCCCATTCCCCTCTTTTTTATCTCATTTTTCCTTCTATTTTTGTCTTTTTCGCTACTTAAGTTAAAGAATTCACTCATAAATACATGAACTACTCCTTTCATTGTCAATTAGTCTTGAAATAAAACTTTATGAATATTAAGATGGTATCAAAGTTCAATAAATTCATTTAGTCTAAAAAAAATCTAGCCAAGATTGATGAGCCTAAAAGAGCCACCATTTCGAATGGCATGTTAAGGGATTGAATAAGATTTATAAATACATGGGTTAGTTCTCTCCGAGATGGAACCTATGAATATTAAAATATCGACACATAGCACCCTTCCATCTCTCAGTTGTTAGTACACACATCAGAAGTTTTTTTTTTTTTTTTTTGGTGGATTAATTCTACATCATTGGAATGTGGTCGACTTTAATTTAAAATCCTACCAAATCCAACATTTATTTTGGATGAAATTTTTTTTTGGGACAAAACGAGATTTCAAATCATATTTGATTTCAAATTCTATCCTTTTTATTTAAGGAAAACACTGAAAATAAATTTCAAATCATTTTGATTTGCAAATATGGTTGGAAATCCTGGGTTCCATACAAAATTAAGTAAAAGTTTGGGACATGTAATCCAAGCACATGGGGCCGTGGATTTTTTTTACCCATTTAGAAATGGTACAAATAAATATTGTGAAATCAAACGTTAAATTGAAAACTTACAGCCAATCTTTAATAGTTCTAAATACTATTATTTATTATAATATTTATACAACGCAATCTTTGTCTATAAATTTAATTCACTTAAAACATCAAATGAAATGAACTAAACTAAGAAAATTGGTATGATTAGAGAGTCTTAATGTCAAATATATATAATGGACAATTTCATTAATTACCTGCCAATTAATAGACAATTTCATTACATGACGAGATAAGACATATAACATGGTAGTGCAAATATAATAAAGGTCAAAATTACATAATACTAAACACGTGCTTATACATAGCATCTTCAATTATCTTTTCAATAACTCACTATAGTAAACTAAAATATGTTAGAAATGAGAACATACTCCTAAACCAATTAGAAACGGAAATCTTAGATACATAAATAAGTGCGTCCCTACTCGTATATGAATCATTTTGAGCAGAGACTCCAAAATAAAATTATGCAACTTAAACTAAAAATTAAAAATGAACAACATTATATCGTTTAAAATATATAAATAGTTACGTTTTCTCAAAAACGACAATAATAATAAAAGCTCTTTTTTTYCCCCTAATTACTCTTCTTAAAATTCAAGCCTTTGCAGGGTGTACTTCAACGAGACATTGCAATGATGTAAATGTTGATATTTATGATCCTCTTTTTCTTTCTCACTAGYAGAGGGAGTTCAATTTTAGCAATGTCCAACTGCCTTACAAAATATAAGTTAAAACTATCAAAGRGAGATGGACCAGTAGGCATTGGCAGTAAAACTAGTTTTCTAGCAGTAAATAAAGAAATACATAAATAAATAAAGGTAACCTTGATAAGGTAAGAAAAATACACACATATTTATCATGTGATTCCTTTAAAAGTGAAAAAATGGAACAAGGTGTGACAATAAAGCTTTATTTTTTTTTCTTTTTCGAAATTGGTTATTTGAAGGAGAAAAGCATTAAAATAGAAAGCAATAAATAAAGTGGTTAGGAGATGGATTTTAAAGAAATGGCTTTTAAAAGGGCCCTCAGTTATGAGTGCTTCAATGTATTTGACTTTGAACTTTCAAATTAGGGAAAAAAAGTTTTGCTGGAAATTATTTTTTTTATAATACAAAAAGATTAAATATAACTTTTAAGTTGTATTTCGAGYGAGAGTTCCCATTCAAAACRGTTTCAAGTCATGGAGAAGGGGGAAAGAAATTATTGATCTTTTTCTACCTGCAAGGAATCCTGCCTTAACCTTGATTTCTAAAAAGTGCTAACATTGGTTTAACCATTTTGAAAATCTTAGGAGTAATAATAATAATAATAATAATTGAATTTAAGTACTCATTTGAATACATATTTGTAGAAAGTGTGTTGTTTCCTTTCTTTTCAACTCATTTCTATACCATCKTTTTTTGGGTTTTGGCTCAATTAGGTGGGATAGCCACGGATATTCAAATCGAGCAAAACCCAATARATTAAAAACACAACACCAAAAATTCATTTCAAATATAATCTATTAACTCTAGATATTATAATAGTTATGGTTAAGGTGRGTAGATCTCTCCATTGCAATAAATTTACAACAAAACTAAATTAGAATATGAAAAGAAAAATTAAAATTGTTTTTATTTCTTGTTTCTCATTTATCATTTCTAGTTTTTTTGAAATATAARCGTTTGATAAGTGTTCCTATTTCTAATTTCTCATTTTTAAGAAACGTATCAAAAAATTGTTAAAAATTTTAGAAAGAACAAAATTAAAGGTTCGTTTGATAACGTTTTTATTTCTTATTTCTTGTTTCATTTTTTTAATAAATAAAAATATAATTGCATTTAGTAACTCTATTTCTTATTATGTACAAGTCAGAAAATGATAAAATAGTGTTTTTATTTAAGTTTTGGAAGAAACCAAATTTTGTTATTTGTAAAGTTTCTATACGATTCTGGGACCCTTTCTAAAAAATGAGAAATAAGGAACATAAATAGTTGTCAAAATGCTTAGGTTTCTCAATACAACTAGAAACAAGAAACTCAAAAGTTACCAAATGGGTCATAAGTTTCTTGTTTCTAAATTTTTTTTTCCCCCAAAACATAGACAAAAGACATTGTTTTATCATTTTGACTTATAAAATGCATAATAAATATTAAAATATATATATAACATAAAAATATTGAAGATTTAATTTGAAAATAAATAAATTTCGTAAAATAAATTTAAAATTTTAGAGAAAAAAAATGGTTATTAGATATATTAAGAGATAAAAAYAGCTTGTCATGTGAAGGTCTAAAAGACCCAATTTCATAGAATATCATTAAGGGAAGAAAGACTTTCCATACTTCCAAATTCTAAGTAGGACGAAGGTTTCCCTACCCAGAAAGTGCTCACCCAACAGGCCAACCTTCAGCATGACATGCCCAATCGTCAGTCGATATCCATATTAAGCACTTCATTCCTGCCTCAAGTATCATATTTTAGTTCAATCTCTATATTAAAGTCGAATTAAACTGACTCCAGCATCGGGAGTATTTGTTCTCTTATATAGGTCATTCCTKGTCAAGCGACTCTCCAATTCTTCTGCACTTGCAATCTCCCACAGTCAACATATTTTGACCCGATTGAACTTGACCGACTTTTGTTGCACAAACAAAATATATTACTTAAATTGTGCTTTTTATTGGAAAGGAGGAAACAAAAATTAGACGAGCTCTAAATTTTTAATTCCTAAGGACCAATCAGGCATGAAATATGAATTACGTAAGAAGTAGATAGAAAAAAAGAAATGGGGAAGTCATAATTGCAGTGAAAAAGGTCAAATATTTGGTAGACAATATATCATAGGGCTGAATTCAATGCTTTTGACTCATACCAGTATTCATTAAAAATCTTGTCTCACTCTGGACTTTGCCACTCAAAAGTCGCACCTATTGACTTTTCTASTCATCTCTTCCACAGAAGTAACCTCATCCCTTCCCATAAAAACATCAGACGCTCTCAATTCCAATTTTCTTGTTTTTTTTTTTTTTGGAAAAACAAATTTAAGATTTTTATTTTTTTCCAGCATTTTGGCTTAAAATATTTTTAGATATCTCTTTTATTATGATACTTGGGATTATTACTTCTATAAAAATCATGTATGCTTTAAAAGTAATTTGAAAATGATAATAACTTTAATTTTTAAAAGCTAATTGATCACAAACAATTGGAAAAAAAAAGTAAAAATAATAACTGTTTAACGAAAATCTTGTAGACAAATCGCTGGGTTCCATGATTTTTGCATAAAACAGATGTGAAAAATAAAGTGCACAAGTTTTGAAAAGTTGAGACGATGGKTGCGAAATGTCAAAGCTAGCTAAAGCTGATCTGAATTACACTTACATTTCTTGAGAAAAATTCATCGTCCTGCTTGAGTTGGTCAATTTAGGGTGAAATTAATATTCTATTACATATCAGGATCCAAATTTGGATAAGAACTGATAAATTATTCAAAGTTCAACAACAACAGAATTAAGCAACAAAAAAGGAATCAAGTCGACACCAGGACAAACACCTAACACCATCGAAAAATCCCGATTGGTTTCACCACTCAAAGGACCTAATTAACCCCTAATCTTGGAATTATCGATTGGCTCAATTTCTGTTCAATCATAAAATTTAGTCAGCTTTATTTTAAATACCTGTTCCAATTAAGAGAATTAAATTTGATTCATTCGACTCCAGGAGAAAAATTTTACGTGCTGGACTGAACGTAATACCACAATTCCTATTCTAACAGCTTTTTCTCCAGCAGGACATGACTTCTCTCCTTTCAAGAGTTGATGACTAAGAGGGCAGCAGCATTTGATACAATGAAAAAAATGGGTTATGCCATATGTTGCTAATTTACTCATCTACATAGAGTACAACTGATGCACTTCCTCTGGCTATAAATTCATGTGGGAATATATGGTCTCATGGCCTCTGCTCAATCGTGTCTGCAAGTACGATTCATTTCAATTTCTTTCGCATACCCATTCGCGATTTTGCGTACCTAAAGTTTGGATTAAGCAAAACATCTGAAGGCAAGATTTAGCAATACAATGTAAAGAATAAAAATATTGTAGAAGGATACTCCAATCGCATGCCCTCCCCAGGAGGTGATGAGTACAGAATTGAACCTTGCAGATGGTTCAGTGCTCCAGTTGAACAGGCAGTATCCTGTATATATTGCGAGCGCACATTTCACACAAGATAACAATAGAATACGTAAACAACTCACATCTAAAATATTTATTATGCCCATTAAAAATTCTTATCCTATGTGAAAGATTAATGATAATCCCATGATATGGGATTATTTGAGTATATTTCCTTACTTTTAACTGGATAAAGAATTGAGTAAAATGTCAGGTTCTGCTTTTTTTGCTTCTTTTCTTGGCATTGTTAGTGTAGGAGTCAAGTTTTGGTCTTCTTGTCTTTTTCTTGCTAATCTTGCTTATTTTATATTACACTTCAGGTCTTTTTAGCCTTGTTTATTAAGTCTTTAAGTTGGAATCTTAAGGATCGAAAAGCAATTCTGTCTAATTTGCTGTGGAACATGTAATAATTTAAGCAATAGACCATTATACTAGTAAAATAGTTCCCTGGAATGGAATATCTAAAAGCACACGTCTTGTGAATGGCCAGGGATATAAAGTCCAGAAAGATTCAAAGCCTTAGGGTGGTGATAACTATTGTCGGCAGTGCAGAAAGTCTCCATCTAAGATTCTAACTAACGCAAGTAAACACAGAACGTGGAGTGTCTAATTCCTGAGCTTCGATGCTAAGTAGGATAAAGTTTATGAACTACAGAAGAATACCATTGAGAAGAGAAGGACTCTGCTAACCTGGAAATCAACAAAAGCAACTGGGGCCCCATATGTGCTCTGCATCTTCAGTTTCAAAAAACCCGGGCATCTGGAAGGAATCATCAAATAAACAGATCATGCAAGTTCTTCGATGTTCAGAACATGACCCAAAATACTGTGCAGCAAGATTACCAACCTCGAAAAAGTTTGAATTAGCTCTTGCTCTGTGCAACTTGGCCCAAGATTTGCCACAAAAAGTGTTGGACATGGGGGATTTTGAGGAGTCTGTGGAATGAAGTTATGAAGAATTATTCTGCCAAAGTTAACAGGATTTACCAAATAAATAGCGCTAAGAAAGGTCAGTCAAGCATAACTCAGATGAGTTCACCTAAACACAGCATGAATTAATGGCTGAATATAAAATGAGTGGAAGAATTTGAATGCAATTACATATATTTAACGATCCAATAAAACTTGTTCATGGAAAAAGCTTTAAATTAACCAGTCCTAATACGCATCAAAAGCAGCCCTATGCCCTGAATTGCCCTCTTGCCTCCAAACGAGGCAACAAAAACCGAAGGAATACATGCAAATATTACTTTAGAACTTCAAGGTAGATAAATTTTGCTCTGTGTTTGTTCACAATATGTTTATCCTGATTTTCAAGTGAGAGTTTTTTTTTTTTTTTTTGGGTAAAATACTATTTTGGTCCCATTTCCTTTCGGCTTTGGTTCATTCTGCTCCTGTATTTTCAAAATGTTCAGTTTAGTTTCTGTACTTTCAACTTTAGTTCATTTTCGTTCTTGTACTTTCAAAATGTTAGTTTTGATCTCTGTGCTTTTAAAAAGTGACCACTTTGGTCTCATAATTCCAGCATGATACTATACTTAATATATTTTTTGAAATGTAATCATGACTTTATATTAAATGGTTCACATTATGTATAGATTTTGTGTTAAACTTTTGCAAATGATCACTTTTAAAATTACATGAACCGAAACGAACATTTTAATAGTATAGGAACTAAAAGAAACAAAAGTTGAAACTACTGGGACCACAATGAACATTTTAAAAGTAAAGAACTAAATTGAACCAAAGCTAAAATTACAAGACCAAAATATTTTAACCTAGATTTTCTTAATGGGAAAACTAATGCTTACAAAAAGAAACTCATAGAAAGGCCAAAACAAAAGTGGGCAATACAAAGCAACTTACAAGAAAGACCAACTTTTGGTAATATAAAAATTGCAGAAAATTTTTGAATAACGAACCCACAGGAAGGAAATGTGTCGATCCCACACACCTTCCCACAACCTATCTATCCGAAAAAACATTCTTCAACTCTAAGACACAAAGGTACAAGTTATAGAACATATTGTGTCCAAGTAAGACCGTGCCCTAAAAAACATCTTCTATTTCTTTTTAACAAAATAAACCACAGAACAACATGAAGCCCATAAATAGGCATTGAACTATAGGATTATCCCAGTGATAACTTGTTATCACCTCGACAATAACCATACAACTGCAATTTCAATACAAATACTCGTCTAAAACATTCATATGCACCAAGATAGAGCCTCAGACATATCAACTCCTCAACAAGAGTAAAGAATTTACAGCAAGTTGAGTAAATTGCATCTTGTTGGGAATAAAAAATTCTAATAGGAAAATGCATATCCAAATTTCAGGTCAAGTGGATATAAAAATAATTTCAGTACACATACTCGTCTAAAACATTCATATGGATGAACCAAAATAGAGCCTCAGGCATCAAATCCTCACTAAGAATGAAGAATTTACAGCAAGTTGAGTAAATTTCACCTTTTCCATTTCTTTTCTTTCTTTCTTTATTTCTTTTTTCTTTGATAGGAAAATGCAAATCCAATTTAAATTAACAAATGAACATTGAAACAGTATTTTAGCTAATGTAGTGAAACGTTATCCCAATTTGGGATATAATTATGCGCACAACTTGATTGCTACTTCTATTAGGATAAGTAATTCAGTTATTAATCATATAGTGCTTATGGAACAGGAATAGAGTATGCAAGTAGCTTATAGGGACTGAAGAACCACGGATAGCAACAAAAGGTAACCTTACCACATTTGCAGCCACTGTATCATTTACACTTTTGTTATCAAAGCTTCCATGGCTGATGGTAGAAATTACACATTAATTAGAACATATAAGAAGAAAGATAATGAAGCAAGTGAACAAAACTTAAAAACCCAACACAGGAGTCAGGGCGTGTAGTAAGAGCTTTTTACTCAAACCCTTGAACTTTCTGCTTGTGATTACTCTTATACAATAATGTATAAGCTTCACGTAAGCTTGTAATTAACCATTTCAATAATAAAAATGTGCTAAGTAGTGCAGATGACCTTTGTGCAGATGGATAACCAATCGTGTTGTAAGCAGAATTACCCATTCCAGACATGTGAGTGCTGCCAAGACCTGCTAGTGCCCAAGCGTGCAAAACATGTGCAAAGTGAGCTTTTAGAATAATGTGTCCTCTGCGTGACTAATTAATTACTACTTACTCCAAGAGGTTATACAAGCACCACGTAATTATCCTCAAATAAATCAGAGGGGCAAGATTTATATATTAAAAAAATCATTATAATAGTTACCATAGGACCATCAAGAGGACAGAAAATAAGAAAAGCTTGTGTAAGAAATAGTTCACAGCCCTAAATTATGCCAAGAAATCGTCTTACCAGAATCAGGTGTACTCCTTGAAAACATAGATACTTTAGCTTTCTTATCAGATCCATATCTTTCATCCTCTAATCGTGTGATGAACACATCAACAAGACCAATTTCAGATTAGTTATACCACTACATACAATAAATAAGTAAAATCATGAGTGGACAGCCAACAAGTTATGGACCTGTCCTTGTCCGCTTTGATCTTGAATTGGATTTAGCTAAATCAACGTATAGTACTGACTGCTTCTCAAGATCAAATACCATGCCCTGCAACAAATGTGATATTAAATTGTATTGCAATGTAGAAAAGAAATTTACAATTCCCTAGCATTTCAAGAGGCCTAGACTTTCCACCTAAGTATCTTGAGAGGCTTGGACTCTCCTAAAATTCTTACTACCCAACTCCTATAAATGACAAATCCGCCCCTCAAATATTCTAATATTAACCCTAAATTTCCCTACTAATATTCCTAATCTTGGCCTTGTCACTTCATTACTTCAATGAATTTGTTTGGAAKATTAGATTCCAAGAGGAGAATGTTTTGATACATGCTGAGCTTTGTTTTGGCAGCTTTGTTCAGAGAGCAACAAAAGTTTGAATAACATCATTCTCCAAGCTTTATTTGTACCCATATGTGTGTGTAGTACATACGATACATAATCAAAGGGGGAAAAATATATGATCACTTCACTAGGTGGAAGACGTCATTCTCTTACTAGTATCTAGATGGTGCTCTTTATTTTAAAAAGGTAGTGACTGTACTCCTACAATTAAACCGATGGAAATATTTGTGTATCCTTCTAGCAAAAGGCAGGGCTACATTCTTCCTTTTCCACGTTCCTGATGTGTACCTTTTTTATCATTGATATAACTTTCTTGTCCATACAGAAGTGGAGCAGAAATACTTACGTTTACTGCATGCATTGCACCAATGGCAGACTGCTGGTCCGAGAATACAGCAAATGCAAATGGCTGTAACCACAACAAACAAAATTGTAATAAAATCCATGCATTATGCTAATCAATAAAATATAAGGTCTACAAATCAACACAAATGATGATATGGTATACTGTCAACTGTATGCATAAGATATTCCATGAGACAGTGGGAAAAGAAAAAATCAAGCTTTTAGAAGTTACAGTGACAGCCATAAGCACTGAATACACGTCTTTGAAGAGTACTTGCATAAAATTGTTACAATTTATTGCAGCAACGGCAGATTGTTGGTCAGAGAATATGGAAAAATTGTAAATTTCCTATACAAACAAAGGTCCCAACCTTTCTATGTGCATTGGACTTGAGAAACAGGAGATTGCAGCAATTTTTCAGTAGAAAAACATGGGATATTAATATCCCAGTTTATAGTCTCAACAGCTCTGAACTTGGCCAGAATACAGAGACTATTACCACAATGACAATCCCTGGACCTGAGATTATGTTGGCTAACTTAAGAACCCTTAAACAAGGACACCAATAACATAATACAAGCCTGTTTTGGCATTGCCAACAAAAGTTTCAGATTGCTATCCTGACAACAAGATATGTATGCATAATTCGTAAGGCACAAGTCACTATCAACCAAGTAAATGGTACAAGAGAAAGCAATGTAGAATATTATTACCTGTGTCAATGCATTAGCAACAAAATAGCAATTTTTTTATGAGGCCAAAATGTTCAATAGAAGTTAGGGAACACGACTTTTTACTGAGAAATTTGAGCAAAAAGATTGGGATTGGTCCATAGTTGCATTTAAATTACGAAGGAAATGAGCTTTTGCATCCATCAAAATGACACCGACCAAGCCATAATTATTGTCCACACAATATGGAAATCTTTCTGGTGCTTCTTAGCTAAGGCAGATAAGTGGAAGMACTCTGCTCTCCTTGCCCTTGACGGGAAAAGAGATTTTATTGAGGAAGGGTCTATGATGTGAATGAAGCAAAAGCTATAGCTCCAAACATGACAAAGGTCTCTGAACTTGCTAGGTAGCAACGTATTTTCATTATTTGGGTTGTATACTTATATGGTAGCATGACTCTCAAGGATGGGGTGACCTACGCTTCCACCACCATTTTCGTGGTCGTGGGAAGTAGAATACAGTTGTGATCAGGAGCAAGGGTGAAAAGTTAGTGGACGGCCTTGAAACTGAAGAAAGGGATTACAAGTTGGATACCGACTTGCATTTAGCAGTAGCGAGTAATGGGGGTTACAAGTTGGTGAAAACCGGATCAGTGCCTTCTTTAATGCTAACTTGCATTTAATGGTTGGGAGTATTGGGAAATTCTACTATAGAGGTCTTCCATATTATTCATGAGAAATTACGAGTGAAAGGAGTTGTTGAAGAAATTTTTGTTGATGTCATTTGCATTCCACCAAAACCCAGCACGGCAATAGAGTCACTGATATGATTTTCCACATTCGCATTGGTATTAGCATTAGCATTTTGGCATCAACATTGACATTGGTACAGAAACATCATGCTTCAGTTAGAATTAAACACATCGCACTCATCATTTAGTTAGAAAACTCACAATAGATACCATGAGTTTGAGGGGACGTTAGATTATGTTTTCTTAATGTGGCTTTTTTTTCATTTAAATTGTGATTTGACGTTTATATCTCTCGAAGGAAAACTGGATTTTTATTTAAGTTTATTATATAAATAGATTACTAAATGTATTCTTTGATTAAGGTATTAGAATAGAAACTTAGCTGTGTTATTATTTTATCTATCTATTTTATTTTCTCATAAATTAACATTTACGTATTTGATCGAGATGAAACTTCAAATGAACCTCAACAAACCAGGTCCAAGTTAATTTTGTTTAACCATGATCTAAGAACTTCTTCAAAAGCCAACTATTTACAGTAGCCTAACCAGAATCCTTTACAAGGCGGTCCTTAATCTCCTCCTTTGGAACTAAAGCAACTCAATGCCCACGAGTTTACTCATGACTCTAAAAGCTAAGAGCATTTTTCATGTGTAAGCATCCAGGCACCCTAATTAGGGACAATTGTAATACTCAGAAGAAAAATAAAATCAAGGTTACACAAATGCCGCAAGAATCAACAATTTTGCAATTTTCAGAGTAAATACGACACCTGCGTCGTCTGCGTGGGGCTCCGAAGATGAGAGGACTCGTATCCCGGAAACTCCCGGAAGAGATTGTAGATTTCTCGGGGCTTGACATCTTCAGGAAGGCCGGCTATGAATAGGGTTCGGACCTCATTAGGGGACGCTGCGTGAGGTAAAAACGGTAAGCCATACGTAGCGAAGGTGGGCGGGTGTTGAGCGAGGTAATGCTGAGACGGCGGTGCTGAAGAAGGAGGAGGAGGCACCTGGTAATAGGGATAGTGAGGAGCTTCAAGACCAGAAGGCTGCGGCGGTGGTGCTTGCGGTGGTGGCGGATAGAAACTCGCCATGTCGTCCATCGGAGTGCGATCCCGACAAAGGAGAGAGAGAGCTTGAGCCCAGCTTTTTGGGTCGGATTGCTTCAATGGTGATAAATCATTGAGCTCAAATGGGCTGAGTTGGACCCTAAAGTCCAATCCGGCCCAATTTCGCTGTTTACGAGACGAGATGGCCCATTATGCTCTCTAAATATTTGCAGATTTGTTTGTAATTTTAATAAAGTCGCAAATTGTGTCTTGTTTTATTTTAATTTAATACTGGAATTTTGAATTCTTCTTTAAATATTAAACTCAATTATGAATTTTTATTTTTATTTTTCCATGTTTTCTTGCCATGTATTTATGACAAAAATATGCATTCAAGATAAGTTTAGGGAGCCACATGGAATCTCTAGTGTCAACTGGTAGGAATCCACTAATTTGTAAAGAGAGTGAACTAGACCAACGTCGAGCGTATTGGAAAGTGAGAGTCTAGTGCATCGTATAGATGCTCAAATGCAGTTAGAAGTACCCCGACAAACTCATCTCGTAAAGCATTAGATGCGGTGTTAGGCGACTACCCAAGACGTCGCGAGCGCCTCACTGTAAATTGGTAGGAGGAGAACAATGAATATTGGGAGAGGTCCCACACTCCGAGGCCTTCTCTCTGCTCTCTCTTTCCGTATAAAAATTTCATGGAACCCTAATCTAGGTAAGCAAGCATTTCTATGCAACGTCATACATGAATTCGGCACATTCTCAAGTGAACTCTCACAAATCTTTACTCTACTGGCTTCATACYCATTTGTTACAATCTTGAATTCTTACTAAGACACTAGAATACATTGAGCAGAGCACCACACCAATAATAAATTTCTAAATGTAGGTGAACCTTGAGCTAGGAGATAAAGACGTTAGTAAAACTTACGTGACCACTTGTTCGAAAATCGACAACAACACTATATATATTAGATTTTAGAAGACATGAACGTGGAATTCATGATAATTTTTAGTTTAAAAATAGATTTACTAAAACTAGATTGAATAGGTACAAAATTTAGAGGGGAGAATAAGTGTTTGACCATGTGTAATTTAGGTTTAATTTATTGAGCTATAYTCGGATTAGTTAAAATAAAAAAAAAGTTTAGTACGACAAATGTAGATTATAAATATTTGAACATCCAATCTTAAATAAATAAATGAGTAGATGTCATTATGGGTGAGGTATGCTCATTTTGCATATTAAAAGTTTTTTTAGTACAGCGCGTGGGGTGGAGAGGATTATTTTAAAAGTTTAAACTACCTAAATCCTATAAATATTTTCATAAATGCTTTTTTTAAGCTTATTTGATAAAATAGTGCTTAATAATCACTACAATTATATTTTCAATTTTGAAAAAGAATTGTAATGAAATATAGTTTAAATGATTAAGTGGTTAGTTGAGGTTGATGATTAGATTTGAATTCTCTTCCACTTATTTATAATATAACATTATTTGAAAAATAAAATTTTAATTAAATCATAAATGAAGTTATAGTTATACAATCTCCTCCCGTTCATTTCTTGTTTGAATTTTTAATTTTTGTCTCGTGGTTTTACTTTTTAAGTAACCAAACTCAATCCCATGCTTCCATTTGCTTGAATGCAGGCCGACCGTAGGAGTGTAGCAAACATGTGAAGATGGCACTAACTTTCACAGTATTTTTTATTTTGAGATGTTTTACTCAGAAACGGAAWAACAGTAGCCAGAGTTTTCTAAATACGAAATACAAGGTTTCTAACATTTGTGCATGGACAGTGATAGACGGAGGAAATGACCAAACTTAAAATGAATAGTATCATTAAAGTTAATACCAATATAATAAATTTATACTATCAAAAGAACTAGAGAGCATTTTGAAGTCTTCAATCATTGAATGAACCTTTGTAAAAATATAATTGGTGCATCTTAAACCCTAAGTCACAGACCAACTTTATATGTGGGTCACAATTGTGATAGTTTATTTGGTGTATAAGATGCAATAGAATCAGTCACCAGTCACTTTTAAGATGTAATGACCGTGGGCATCTAGGGTGATGAGAAATAACACCCGGTTGGACACTACATTTTTAAGTTTCATAATGGTCATACCATATTCTTACATACAGTCCAGTCCATACACCACAACCAACTCCCCAGTTTCCTCCTAAAATACATTAATGAACAAAAACCTACTCGTCAAAAACAATAAAATCTTGTTTCATTGAAATAAAAACTTGTAGATAGTGATTACAATTCCTTGTTTCTGTTATTCTGAAGATCACAAAGCCACTTCTCTGAGAGCCTTCATAATGAYGCCTCCAGAGTTCTTCCAAACAAACAAAGCCRTGTTTCTCTCTTGCCAAAAACACTGTAGTAAGCAGTAAGATGACATCACCGGGTCGATCTTCAAGTCGAAGATCGTTGCACCGTAAATGTTGGAGCTTTCTTTCATCTTAGATTCCTGGAAAACTCCATCAAAGACTCTACCTGGAATTCAATTTTTATGGAAATCCTCGTACTCAAGCCTAGATTGTTCAGACCGAGCTGTCGAAAAACTTGACCGAGTGAGTCCAATCGGAATATACAGTTGATAGTTTCTCTTTTCTTTTTTGTCAAAGAACCGTTAAAAGCCACTAGATTCACTGTCCTCTATCATGACACTCTCTTTGATCTCCAGTATCATTTTCAAAACTTGCCACATGGCTGGCCTCTGTTCAGGGGACGTCGTACTACAGATGCTAGCCACCTCAGTAAGCATTCCAAGCTGGTTACTATCAGCACCATCGTCTTCCCTAACTGCTCTTACCCAGTCTGGCATATCAGTTGGCTCGAGGAATGGATGGTGTGAAGGATGTTTTCCTGTCAAAAGCTCCAACAAGAGGACGCCAAAGGTGTAGACATCACTCTTGTGTGTGGAATTGCGGCTGGACTTGCGAGTTTCGGGGGCTTGGTAGCTTGAAGAATCTGGATCTTCAGAAGAGTCTGCCAGAACAGAGAGGCCATAATCTGTTAGACAGGCCTCAAAGTCTGCTCCAAGAAGAACGTTAGTAGACTTCAAGTTGCCATGGATTAACTTAGAAGCTTGATGTATATAAGCAATGCCCTGAGCTAAATCTTCTGCAATCTTCAAGCATGATGTCCAGTGCAGAGGCTTAGCCCTCGCTGATCTCGAACCTATCCAACATTTGCAGCTGATTGTAAATAAGTAAACTGAAAAGACACAAATAGAAGAGCTGTGCAACTATTCCATATGGAGCACGAACCACAAGATTAAATTTGCAGGTAATATTTTTCTGTACGTTCTCTAAGAACAACAAATGATTGTCATTTACTCAACATCTATCTATATTATGCAACCACTGATAGCATCGTTAAAGCTTTCACAATCAGGACAAGACTATCATTCCAGCAAGGCTCTAGATATACTAATATGGGCGATCAGAAACAGTTTAAATGCTAAGGGTGAGGGGAAGTGTTGCATCAAAATAGCAAGAAAGAAGGAAAGAAAAAAAGAAACTCTGACTACCAATAAAAGACCATCATGTTGGCCGTCCAGGATTTAAAAGTAACCAACCATTAGGCCAGAACTGGAATTTGGAATCATTCTTTGGCAAATATGCTATGAAATGTCATTTGGCAGTRGTAGGACACTTCCCATATGCAAAATCTTTGCAGCAGATTCAAAATCTGCAACGCAAGACAATTTTCCAACTTTTTGGATGGGGAGAAGGGCCATATATCCACCAATATAAAGAAATTTGGATTTATTTTACAGCCAGGGAGCGATTTGTTCCATTCTTTGGCGTCATTGCCAGCAYAGGYAAAATTGCACATACAGCCGAGAGGGGCATTATTAAAACCAGAGCTGTTTCTGCAACAGTTTGGCAGAGAACCAGCATCACCAACTCATCCAATGGCAGACACAGATCTACTATACCATAAATAATCGTGTAATCACAAGTCAAGAATAAGAATAAAGAAAAACTCTTATTTCTTTTTTAGGACCCACCGGCTTGCTTCGTGCATTTCAGAATTCGACTCGTGAACACTCACGTGAATGAAATCAAACCCAGAAAGAAAAATCAACAGTATGTTTTTAGCTAGCTTACCGTGAATGAGATTGAAAAGACTGCCGTTAGGTTGGTAATCGTAGACCACTAATCTCTCTCCCCTGGCTTGAAAGTAGGCCCTAACTGGTACCAAATTAGGGTGACGAAGCGCACCCACTGCTTCCATATGCCGGTCGAAAACTTCGCTGCTAGTCACGGCGGTCTTAGTAGCGTCGAGGCGCTTCACAGTTACGATTAACTGGTTGCAGAGCACGGCTTTGTATGTAGTTCCCATTGTACCTCTACCGAGCAGCTCCGCCGATGCCCTCATTAACTGCTCTAAGCTGAACAACTCGGACTCACCTTCACAAAATATAAGATTACCACTCTTCTGGTTCTGAGCCTTTGGCATTTCTTCGATTTCTTTCACTTTAGCTTGAAATTCGCCCTTCCCATCGACTCGGTCGGTGATTGCGGAAGTCGTGGAATAAGCAATTTCGGTTTCAAACTGCGCCATTGCCGGCTTTGACGTGGTTTGTCTTCTTTGAGTTCTGGCAGCTGCATAGAAACACAGCAGACCTGCTACTAAAACTGCAGCGCCGAGGGAAAGCCCCAAAATCATTCCGGTTTCCTTGTGCTTGTCGTGAGAGACCGGAGAGAGAACCACGTCCTGCGATTCAGTGTTCTGGACAGAAGGGAGAGACGGAGGAGTGGCATTGGAAGCTTCGAAGAATGGAGCACGTGAATGGCAGGCCTTGTTGATGATCTCGCCACAGAGATCTGGGTTCCAGAAAAACGACGACGTGTTGAAACGCGAAAGAGTGGGGGTCACCGGAATCAGTCCGGTCAGATTATTCCCCGTGACATTGAAGACCTCGAGAAACGACTGATTCAACGGCGGAAGGCTTCCATTGAAACCATTCCACTCGAGGCGGAGCGTAATGAGGCGGTCCAACGAGGAGAGCCTCGCCGGGAGCGGACCAGTGAAGTTATTATAGGAAAGATCGAGAGTCTGAAGACGGTGAAGAGTGAGAATGGAGGGCGGAAAAGCTCCGACGAAGGAGTTGCGGCCGAGGAAGAGAGATTTAAGATTGAAGAGTCCGGAAAGATCAGGAATGGGTCCCTGGAGCGAGTTATTGTGTAGGCTGAGGATCCGGAGCTGGTCGAGCTGAGACACAGTATTGGGAGCCAACATCCCTCGGAGACCAAACGATTGAAGAACCAGTCGAACAACGCGGCCCTGGACGCACTTCACGCCCTGCCATTGACAGTAATCGAACCGCTCATTGAGAGTGTAGAGAAGCCTGTTGTCGAGGTCGGCTTTGGACTTGAATGAGAGAAGAGAAACGGCGTCGGACGGCAGCAGCAAATCCTCCGGGGGAACAAGCGCCGGCGGCGGAATTTGAAAGGAGGCGGGGAGAGAGAACAGGAGAGCCGAAAAGAGAAGGAGGAATGTGGGAGCGGGGCGATTGGGTCTCATTGTCGGGACCGGAGCTCCGAGCTGAGACGGCGGCGGAGAGAAAGAAGGAAGTGGTGGAGAGAAAGGAAGGAGGGTAAATGCGGAGCAGCTGGCCCTTTAGTAACAGCACTTTCTGGGTGGGGATCACGTGAGGTGGGTCGTAGGGAATGGACCAAAATTGTTGGGAAGCGCTTGACGCCAATGACTTCAACTCAAATTCTATTTGCTTCAATTATTTTAGTCTCTTCCCTTTTTTCAAATTTTCATGAACTTTCTTTTTTCTTCCTAAATCCGTGTCAAGCATTTCAAAAAATATATATCAAATTACCTTTGAATTTTCAATTTTACATTTCGAAAATTAAGCAATCGAGTATAATTCAACTTATTAAAGTAAGAATTGAATCCACGCCTCTTACACATGTAAGGTTCAAATATTTGATAATACATGGCTAAATGCATTAAATTTACATAATCAAAATAGTTACCTATTAAACAAAATTACAAATTTCAATATCTTATTAAAATTATTTTTTTTTCTTTTATCGTCAAACTTTAATATAACTCAACTAATTAAAACACATATATCTCATAMATAGATCGTCCACGGTTGAAGTAAAGAAAATAGTAACTTAAGATATTTTTTATTTTATGGAAATAAAGCTTAAGGAAAAATGACGAGAGTGATAAATGAGATCAAAATATTATGATGTATGACTCTCCCATTAGCTCTACTCAAAAGTTCATAAAAGTTGCAAATTGAACTTTCTTATRTGAATAAATTTTTAAAAAATCAAAATAAGAACAAAAATTTTACTAACAAGTTGTTATAATTTGAAACATTATTTCTAATGGTTGCCGATGGTTGTATTAAGTAGTTAATTATTTGCTAAGTTACATATAATTTAAGCAAAAAGGATAAAGTTTGCCTCAAAGATTATTGAGTACTCAGTTACTAGTTAGTATAGTCTTATTAAYGATGAACCAAATATATGCCATCAGAAAACTTGAACTATCTAATCATTTATATATCATTTAAATGTACTCGCGCTTTTTTAATATAAAAAAGGCTTATGCTCGTTTGCACTTAAAAAGGAAACCTTTTAAAAATTTCCAAACCTCTCCTAACGTAGATTAGACATACCAGAGTATTGACGAATTATTAAATTTAGTGTAATCTATCCTCTAATTTAGAGGCAGTTTTAGATAATATATTTAGAGTGACACATTATTTCATAAAAATATAATAACAAATATAATCAGTAATATATCTTTTATATAAATTAGACGGAATTACTGGTAATCAAAATGTGCATGAGATATAATATTTATTATATAAATCCTAAAAAAGAGGACATATTTGAGATGCATTATATTTTCTTAATGTAATAAGTGGACATTCAAACTTCCAACGTTCTGACGAGGCAAATCAACGCTCGAACTACTCCAATAGTAATCTGCAGCAGTCCACGCGAATAGCAGTAGTACTCGGACCACACTRTAGGTTGGCGACGATATAACCCAAATCGACAGGGACCCAACGACTACAGACTCTGGCATCTACAACAATCGATTCAACGATGAATTTAGCAGATATGATGCTCCTTCACAACCTCCGTCAAATTATATAACAATTTTGTAGAAGAAAAGTAAYGTGCGATTCATTTAAACTACAATGTTATTACAACAAAAATATTTTATATCTCTCCGGTCAAATTATATAGCAATTCTTAGATCTAAAAATAATTTTGTAAGTATATTATTTTTTTCGAAATATTTAATCCCTTAAAAAATAATTTYAAGTTTAAATCTTTAATTTTCTTCTAATATCCCTAAAATTTTTAGAATCCAAATATTATATATGTAAACTAAGTCCCTCCTTAAAAGAGAGCTTGACACTTCCTTATTTCTAAATATCCTAATTTTCAATTGGTGAAACACATAGATTGAAAGATAAATCAAGAWCTCTTCTATCAAGATTTAAAGATAAATCAAAACTACTAACATATTACTAAACACATTATCACACATATKATCAACATTGTAATAGTATGATTGAGTGGGAATTAATGGAAAACTCTAATATTTTAAGAGTAAAATTAAATACCTCAAAAAATGAGTAAGATTAAAATGTTGAAATATTATAGATCAAATGAAGAATATATTTCTTAATTTATTTTCCTATACACTTTAGAACAATATATATTTAACTTTTTTCTACAAAAAAAGAAAAAAAAGGAAAAATAATAAATTATATATATTTACTATTTAGTCATAAAAGTTAAAACTCGTTCACGTAGGACGTGTCCACCCACTCCACTCACTAATGCATCTTGTTCAGTTTCCTTTTCTTTCTTTCTTTCTTTCTTTTTTTTTTTTTGAAAAAATGTCATATCTCTTTATTACTTGAAGTTTCAATTATTCTTATTTTTTACTCTGTATCTACATGATAAGACATTGCTTAATTAAATGTAGTGAAATTTAACTAATTATTAATATCTAAATTAGGATTAATTAATATGTAAACTATATCCCGAGTTTTCATTTCGAGATTATGCTAAAAAAAAGTACAATGAATTCCTTCTTTGGGGATTCACCTTATGTTTGAATAAAATAAGTTTTTTTAGATTGTATAAACTATATGTATGCGAAAACCATTTCTATAACACAACAGTATGATATTTTGAATTTGCAAATTACAAAGTATAAAATGCAATCATTTCCTTTATGATATTATAGATATGTTCTTACTTTTTCCCTTTCTTTTTTAAGCCCATGTTCTTTCTTTCTTCGATTAAGGTCTAGGGCGAAGATAAAATATAAAAATATTTCCTATTTTCACGTGAATTCTTTAAAAAAGGTAAGAAGGGGTAAATATTTCAGTAGGAATTTTGTTGAAATGGATAGTTTTCCATGTTTTAATATATAACAATTTTATTAAAGCGACCCTAGTTTAACGGTAATTGACATATATCTTCAACAAATAATTTGTGAGTTCGATCTCACATCCTCGCATGTTGTACTACAAAAAAATATGTAACATTTTTCTACGTTTTTTTATATATCAGYTTAAACTTTTAGGTTAATTTATCATTTAATTATGTTTAAATGATACGTATTAGAGCACCCATGTATTGTATTTTCGACCCATTTAATATTAATTTCTATAGTGATTTAGTCATATTTAAGATGATGTTAATATGGTGTTAAAGTATAAAGTCATGTGTTTGTACTTTTATATTGTCATTGTTTGTCTATTTAATATTGATTTTCAATTAAATTTAAATCGTCTATATAAAATACCTAACATTTTAAGTATGAAAATGGGAGATAGGGAGTTRGATAATTAATTATAGGAACATATATAGAATATATTAACCCATCTTGTTTGTATTAAAAAATGATTCTCTCCATTCTTGTCTCTTTCCCTATTTGAAATAAGATCAAAGTGGTTCCTCCTATTCCCCATCATAAAATTTCAACACTCCCATCACAGTGTCTCATATAATTTTTGACATCCACGTCACAATCATCCTTTAAAAATAATGCTTACTGGATTATTTATTAGATTTACCTCTTTCAAAATATATATATATATATATATATATATATATATATATATATTAAAACGATCAATTTGGTATAAATATACTAATAGGAGTATAAATAAATTTTTTAAAAGGTAAAATGATAATTTGTAATATTTTGATTCCATTATTATATGATTGTGAAAGCGAACTCAACACAATATACATATATCTCAAATTAAGAAGTTCTGAGTTCGTTTCTCCACCCCRCATGTTATATTAAATAAAAAGTCCATTAAATGATTTATACGGTCTAATGTATATCAATTTTCTATTGTTTAAATTTTGAATAAATTTACCAACGAAGTATTGCTTAATTCACAAAAGCCAATAAGTTGGAAAGTTTATAGGTAAATCCTTCGATCTCCAAATCTACCACTGAAAAATACACAAGATCTATTATTTTTTTTTCTTTTTCTTTTTGGGTTGGGCAATTTATTAATTTATTAACAAAAGGTAATTAGAATTCAGGACATGAAAAACGAAAAGTTAGAGAAGAGATGACACGATGGTGAGGCAGTAAATATTAAATAATTGGTGGGTGAATGCTGATGGCAAAATGAAAAATAAAACTTTCCATATTTAATTTATGCTTTCCCAACATCCTCCAACACCATCTTTTTAATAATAATAAATATTGGTGTAAGATATTAAAAAAAAATTATTTTTGTTAGTACAACAAACTTGAATTCAAACTCATAACCTCTTCTTTATAGTCAAATAYTAATTATTGTTTAATTAAATTCATGTTGCTAAAAAAATAAAATAAAATTGAAGTATAAACTCATAATAAGAATTATTATTATTGTTATTGAAGTGACTTATACCATTGTGATTTTTAAAAATAATTATAAAAAATATTTTGAAAAATAAATAGTTGTTTGAAAACTGACCAGTTGTAATTGTTAAAAATAATTATTCAACTATCATGGGTCCATAACTTTTTTTTTTCCTTGAGAAAATATCAATTATTTAAAAAGATACATTAATATTATAGATTTATAGAGAAAAATAAAATAKAGAATTAAATATATTGCAAAAGTTTCGAAACCCGAAACTATGAAAATAGGCGCTTGCCTAGAGATCCTCTTAGGTTTCTCTCCGCCCAATCAATCACCGTTCCGTTTCCACTCCCCAAACAGGCGGTTTATTATTATTATTATTATTATTATTATTACTTTGACTTATTCCTACAGTAGAAATTGAAGGTTCTAATTTACTTATACCTAAACTTAAACTTATATACCTGTGACCCATACATACATACATACACATATATATCTTTTTCATTTTTCTTGAAAAAGGACCATCGAGTCTCCTCTAAAATAATCATCTATTCATCTAAATCTTATGTCAATAGTTTGTTCTTATTTAGGYCAACTTCTCTTCTTCGAATACATACTACATGTCTGATAAATCTCGATCACAAATCGCACTATCTCTCGAATCAACTTCATTTCTCTATATATCTCTTTTAGGGAGCAAAAATCTTTTTATAGTATCTCCTCTCCAATCTAAYTGCTTAAGTACAAGAGATGATAYGAGAATTTTCACAAAATTGATTTGATGCATGAATATTAGATATATATAAACACAATCTGTTTTCATTATTAGAAAACCATCYATTTTAAGGACATAATGTACCTTTTCTATTTTTTCGTTTGAAMTGTRTCTCTATTTTTACCTAGTTATTATATTTGCAAGCGAGTCTCTCTTTTGTCTTCCTACCGTACTTATTGTGCCCTGTGCCCTAGCTAGATCGATGAAAGATTTAAAATCTTGTAAGAAAGAAGTTGAGAAAAAGAATTGAAAATGAAATGAAATCAATAGTGTCCAGCGTGTCCAGCGTGGTTATAGTTTGGAGTGGTGGACAATTTGGAATGATATAGAGGTTCCCTCAATTCTTTGTTTTAAGATGAACAACATGTTGGTACAAAAAGGGTCCCTCCCTTTCATTTTGTCTCCGATATTTAAATTTGAAGGTTGTCCTCTTTTTTGCGTTTGGAACTTTCTTCTGTTGCTTTTAACCTGATATGAATTATGAAGTACTATATTAATTAATTTCCTTTGCAAAAAATAATCAAATAAAAAATCCATGTATTTTTCATTTTTATTTCTGAAATATACCCATATTTTATAAAATTTATCATATATGGTCCATTTACTATATATATTTTTAAATGTTGTAATTCGAAAAAAAATAATACAAATTTGATTAGGAATGTTTTTCTTTTCTGTATTGTTTTTAAATTAAAAAATAAAATACAAAATTGTATGGTAGTATAATTTACTTACACTACTTGCGTAAGTGAAAATAATGAAATTTTTAAGGCCACGAAATGTATATTAGTATAATTCAGCCTAATTCTATAATTATTTATTTATTTATTTTTATTACGATTCTATATTTATTTCATTATATGTATTTTTGTAAACATTTTCCAAACTAAGGCTAGATATTAACGATTTCATACACTGTCCGAAGACAATTTCGATCGGTTAGGTTAGGTGCTTTACAGCCCAATGGGCTACTGCCACATGCATTTTAGGCCCAATTTTCACTTAAGATATCATTTGGTTTCCATTTTCATATAGGTCAGATTTTTTTTTTCTTTTTTAATTTTAAAATCATCTCTCAGGCGTCGTTATAAAGATTTAAGATTTGAATCTCGATGAGCTGGATTAAAGAAAAAAAAAGTAACAGCAATTTCTTTTTACCTTCTTTAAATAAATAAAATTAGTTTCAATTAATTTAAAAGTCAATACTATGGTCACAAAAATTTATGTATTTATCATTTAACAAAAGAAAAACTACACACTAAAAAAAGTGAAAGAGAAATGACTCAATAGGCATTTTTATCATTCAAAACTATTATGGGGTAATTCCYACATGGCATGTGGCCTCTCTTGATTGGACACGTGTGCTTGGGCTCCAGTTTGGACACCCCAAAGTAGAGGTTGAGGAAGCTTGGCTATTGACACCTGTAAGTAGGAAACACGTTGACATTCGATTGGCTTGTCATGATACCTTTCTTTGGGCGGCTGCTAAAAGACAGGTGTGGAGGTGTGGGTACTCCTCACCTATAAAAGACACAGTCTCACCATTTTCAAAGATACGCAAATCATTGCAATCCAATATTAGGAATCATTACAATCTAATTTAGTTAGACACATTTATATAACTTTCACTAAGTACTTGTTTAAGCATTTGGCTGGACTTCGCACCAGAGATAGTATTTGTTAGTAGGTGTGTCTAAAGAAGAACACTAACGTGCATATGCAACTTGTTCGAAAATGTGCATAAACCAAACCGATAAGTATGTGGTAAATTTAAGCATGTGAAAATATAAACGTGAGAGTAACATCATCATAATTCATAAAGAAGGCATGCCAAATTGAGGTATGATTTTAAAAAACGTGCATGAGATGAAGATGGGCGAGTGAAATTAAATTAAAAAAAAATGAAAAAAAGATGTGGTTGGTCCACTCAGAACAACATATCAAAAATAAATTAAAAATATATTGCTTCCAATCTCATTCTTTTTAGAGGTTCCTTGAGAACTCAAAAACTTCATGCAATAAGCTAAAGCGACTTCTGGTCTGTAATTAGTTCTTCTGTCTATTCATCATTCCCATTTGCCCACCTCTTAATCTACCCAGGTTTAAAGATTCTACCTTTAATTTACACCAACAATACAATAATTAAGCACTTCAATTCCCAACCGATAAAGTAAATAATCATTCCCTCAATTTATTTCGGTTGGATTACGATGTGGTGATTGTAAATTGCAATTGCAATCCCCCCTCTCTCTCTCAACTCTAATTTTCTCCCTGTTTGCTCAAAAGCAACACTTCTTTATAATCCAACCCAACATTTTTGTGAGACCAGTTCGTGGAAAAATCTTGCTTCTTCTTCTCCAATCTCCAAAAAAGGGAAAAAAAAGAAAATGAAACCCAATCCCAATAACACGAGGCTGATTCTCCTCCATCCGTACATCCAAAAACAGGGCACCTCCTCCAAGATTTGGCTTCTGGCCTTCCTCTCCTTCTTCACCCTCACCTTCCTCCTGGTGCTCGTGTACTACACTCGCGCCTCCACTCCCATGACGGCCTCCTCCACCGCCGCCGCCGTGGTGTCGTCCGCCCCCTCTGTGCTACCGACCACCGTGATCAACACCCTGCTCTACTACGCCTCAAAATCGAACGACTCGTTCCACATGAGTCACTCCGAGTTGAAGACCATCTCGGACGTGGTGAGGAAATGCTCGACGCCGTGCAATTTCCTGATCTTCGGGCTGACCCAGGAGAGCCTTCTGTGGAAGGCGCTGAACCACAATGGGCGGACGGTGTTCATCGACGAGAACCGCTACTACGCGGCGTTCATCGAAGAGAAGCACCCAGAGATCGACGCGTACGACGTGCAGTACACGACGAAGATAAGCGAGTTGGGGGAGCTGATTGGGACGGTCAAAGAGCAGATACGGAACGAGTGCCGCCCCGTCCAGAATCTGCTGTTCTCGGAGTGCAGGCTGGGGCTCAACGACCTCCCCAACCACGTGTACGAAGTGGATTGGGACGTGATTCTGGTGGACGGCCCACGCGGGGACTGGCCCGACGCCCCCGGCCGGATGTCGGCCATCTACACGGCCGGGGTTCTGGCGAGGAGCAAGAAGGGCGGCAACCCCAAAACCCACGTTTTTGTGCACGATTTCTACGGGGAGGTGCAGAGGGTGTGCAGCGAGGAGTTTCTGTGCACTCAAAATTTGGTGGAGGCCACCGATACGCTTGCCCACTACGTTCTCGAGAGGATGGATCCCAACTGCTTCCAGTTTTGTCACAATACGACGTCGTTCACCTCCTAGTTACCGTTTCTCTCTCTTTCCAAATAAGACGGCGTCGTTCCTCGTCCCCAGTGTCAGTGAAATTCGTTGTTTTGTTTTGTTTTGTTTTCTTATAGTTGGATAATATAATGGTGCGAATTGCGAAAGAGAGGTAAATGAATGATGTGGGTATTTATGATCAGTTTTTTCTTTCTTTTTTGGTTTGAATTGGGGTTGGATGTTGGTTGAAGGCTGAAGCATTGGACCTGTAAAAAATAATTCTTTTTCTTCAAATGCAAAGAGGAAGTTCATTTCCTTTAAAAGGTTTCCTTCGCGTATGAGTAAACAAGCTTTCAGTTTTCTACCTCTAATTACCTACAAAACATAAAATTTCGTTTTAAATGAATGTTTGTTAACCGGAACAATTTAAAGCCTTGGCTTCTAAACTTGTTTATCATATGAGAATTCATTAATTGTTCTTACCACTTAAGTTGTTATATGACACGACCTGTCCTAAACACTTACTAGCCCTAGAACGAGTCGTGTCGACCACAGACCTCGACTAACTACGAAGTCAGTKRTCAACTTCTTTCTTTCCTTTGACCTGAACTTTGACTAACAACTCCGATGGATGCACAATGAAATATTAATCTTAACCAAACAATCATTCTTACATCCATTCGATACATTCTTTTCCTATCAACAGAATGCACATAAAATTTCTTACAAACCAACTAAATTACATACAAAGGGATAYGCAACTCTTGAACAACTCGGGGTGGCAGAAGCTGAACTAAATTCTTCTTGAAACTCAGAAACTCAGATACTCAGGTTCAGCCTGGGGGAAAACAAAACATAAACAGTGAGCTGAGAAGCTCAGTGAGTGGYAARTTAATAAGAAAATATTGTCGTCAACTCCCTTTCATAAACAACTGAAAATTCAGCTCTTAAAACAAACATTATAAAACTGAAGTAATAATCATTCTCATTAAAATTCCATAAAATTCGAGTAAAACTAGAGCAACGTTATACATTTCATAAAACTCAGTAAACTTCTCAAAATCAAACTTGTAACAACAATTTCTTTACAGGCAAACCGAAAAGACAGCGCTCCCAAGTCCAGGATTCGGACCAGGGTTCGGAATCCGGATTTGGCYCTTATCGCCCCGGCATTYCCCTGCAACCTAGTTATGCGAACTTCTCAACATGCTCTAAAACACATTCTAAAATATATAAAACAKTCTTCTTCAAACATAAAACAGATAGATAAAACTCAACACCACACATGTATCCACATTCTATTCTGGTCTACTGGCGTAGAGTAATCTCAATACACACAGCAGAATAATTATGGTCTATTAGCATAGAGTAATCTCAATACGCATAGCAGAATAATTCTCTCAACACGTGGAGTAAAATGGTCCCAAAGACCTTCTATTTCTGRGTATACTATAGAAACACATTCATATAGGGATACAATAACATGGTGGTTTGAAAATTCCTTTCTCRATCTCATAAATTGTTCTAAAATTCTTCTTTCTTTCTTTCTATGAACTTTTCTTTCTTTCTCAAATCATTTCTAAAATCTTTCTTTCTATGAACATTTCATGAAATTCTAAAATTATTTTTTGAAATCTCTTTCTAAATATCTTTCATAAGCTTAAACCAYTYTTTAAACTCATAAAACATTTCTAAATTTTCATAAACATTTCTAAATTCTCGAACAARCACATTTTCTTTCATTCTTAGTAGAAATGCTAAATCATACATAATATATAATTTCTTAGAAATTCTATATCAGTAGGTATCTAAAACCATTTAATAAAATAACCACTCACAAATTCCAATAATAATATYCAAAACATTTAATAAATTAACCMCTCACAAATCCTTCAAACTCGGTCGTCCTTCGTTCCAATTTCTGCTTCACCTGAAATATCGATTCAATACCAAATGAATTCATGCCTTAATCCAATTTAACTTCAACATATTTTTGTTTCCAATTGAAATTACATTATCTTCCAAATTAATCCACATAAATCCAATTTTATAAYTCATTCTCCSTCTTCATTAACAACCCACCATTTTTTTTTCTCATACCATTACTAGTGGSCTCCACCAAAACCCATTGAATTTMTCTTCGTTTCACCTTCTCACGTGATTTCCCCACTCTTTTACCGATTCATTCTTACTTTTCTTAATTCATTTTTATCCCAAAATCCCTTTCTCTCTCCTCTGTTCAACAACCCATCTTCTCTCTTCTCTCTTCTCCTACCAAACCCACGGCCTTTTCTTCTTTCTTTTTCTTCCTTCTTTTTCTTCTTCTGCAACTTCTTCCTTCTCTTATCAATTACCCTTCTCTGTTTTCCTTTTTCTTTTCATGAACT